GGCATATTAATGAGAAAATTCACTGCTTTGTAAAGTATTACTTTTTGTGATTTCAATCTCTGGCGCGTCTTTTTCTTTTATTCCTCCTATCCTCTGACATACAGAGAGAAAGAGCGCGAGAAGAAGAGATGAAAATGATGATGATGACGATGAAGAGTCAGTGGGAAAAGGGCAAGAGAGAAAGAGAAGAAAGCTTTAGAAGACATATTCAAGAATTGACTCTAGGAGAATTAACTCATATTGTGTATCTAAAGGTGGAGAAAAAAAAGCGAAAAATACACTTCTTGATACATAAATCGAGATTGTCGTGATCTTGTTATTAATATGAGAAGTTGTTGTGTTTTGTAAGCGTGGTAAAAATTATGAGAGCAGCTGATGAATTGCATTAAATCCACTATTTGTTTTTATTATATGGCTTTTATAGTGCATAAACGCGAACTCGATAAACGGTCTTGAGGAAATGATTCCACAATAGAAGATTGTTGACTGTTATTTAGAGTAAAATTTCATTTTCATTCACTTCAACGCTCTGTGATGCATTGCGACTTAATCCTTGTCCCAATAAATTCACCAATGCAAATGACTAATTTCCACGGGTTTTTCGTGTGCAAAATAAAGTTGTACAGTGGCGGGATTTTAAGTAGCGCCGTCTCAGAAACCTTTCATTATTTGTTCGGTACATTTGTTTTAGGTTCTTAAAGTTGTTTAAATTAATCCGAGGTATCTTCAGGATAATTGTTATGTAGATTTTCATATTTTATCTGGACTTTATACGTGTTCGATGTCAAAATTTGATTCAGTGAGCAATATGCGACTCCAGAGTATCGTACAGAGATATTTGGACTGCGCAAGAAAGGACATTTAATCAGGGAAATAATCAGGAGGGCGATTAACTTATTCAGATGTTTAAGGCAAATTCCGTTTTGTCTTCTTCTAAAATCGATTAAGAATTGTTCCCTAAAATCTCTTCAATCGCTAATAAATCCGTGAGAGAATTTAATGAAAATGTTCAAGATCATTTTATAAGAAAGTCTCTTGAACAAGTTGCTCTCCCTGATAAATTCACCCCATTAACTTTCACAGAATAGAGACTTTTGCACTCCTAAATAATACAATCATGTGTGCGCGCGAGGTAAAGTGGAAAGAGATTTCTGTGCTCAATGAAATTAATTTTCTTTATTGTATGGGCAAAATCTTTGGGTATTGCGATGATGTGTCTGAGTGTGTGTAATGTGCAGAAGGTTCCCTCGAGTGGGTATTCAGGTTAATTTGAATTTAAGTAAAATATCGAGTGAGGAGGGTTGGAAAAAGTGGAAAATGTGTAACCGTGCAACTTTGGAGCGCATTAAGTTTTCGTGTCCTCCCTCTGCGATATTTCATAAAATTATACGGCAATCGTGGGGTGGCTTTTTGCCCGCGCTTGTGTGTGGGGGGGTTGGAAATTTCGAAAAACTCAGGGGGATTTTAGAAGTAATGTGCTATATATAATGTTTTCGGAGTGACTTGCGAAAAGCTCACGTAAGAGTCAAGTCACGTAGAATATGAATGCAGCAGCAACTGAACTGTGATTATGATTTCTGCTTGTGTGAGTGTGTACAATAATATAATTTTCCTTTTTTTCTTTCCCTCTGCTCAAGCAGAAGAAGTATTATTCATAATATTTGTAAGAGAGAGAGAGAGAGAGGGAGAAAGAGGCAACAATGCGCGGATTAGAGTATAAGTGGAGGTGATTACTTTGGTATAAATTGCTTGGCAATGCCTGAGATTGTAGGAAGGTATTTTTTTTCTACTTCGCTGTACTCTTTTCAACCATGCGATGCTGGAGGAGTCGCAATGAGTCATCCCGGAGAGTGAGATACTTTCTTCTGCCACACACTGTATTGTGTGTGTTTGTGTGTGCGAAAAGATGGTGTAAAAGGATGAAACTCTGTTGCTATTTGCTTACAGCAGTGAAATGCTAATTTTATTGCAGACCTCCCCAATGATATTTACTCACAACTCTGATGGGAATTCTGTGGAAAAATTTACCAATTTTTGCAGTGACTCATGTGCACTTTGTGCGCCTTAGAGAGTGTGTGCTTTTGATAATGATATTGAAGTTTGTCAGATATTTTTCTCAGAGATTGAATTGATTCAACAAAGAGAGAAAGAGATAGAGAAGTTGTGGCTCAATTTGCTCTGTGTTCGGTGTGAGAAAGGTGACACAGTTCACAATATATATTGGCAATTCATTGGAAATGTGTGATGATTATCGCTGCGAATGGAATTTCTCTATTATTTTACTGCGCTTCTGGTCCGGAAGTTTTTCATATCTTGATTGAATTTGACGGCTTATGTTAATCCAAACTGGCAATTAAGGTGTGAATTGCAGGAAATTGTGGTTTTTTACTCATATAGAATGTTCTTTGTTGTGGATAGTTTTCTATTTTAGCTGACTATTCATATTTCTCTCAATTCATTTTGGTCCTGTTTTGACAAGGAGAGAGATTGAGTTAAGAGTAAATTGCTCTTTGATGTTATCTTCCATTCTTCTCTCCCCTTCTCAATCAGTTTTCAGCAGCATCAGCAAAAGCAGCAGAGGTTAATGACATTTGGCAGAAGTAATTTGTAATTAATTTTCCCAGATGTTTAATAGAGGCCAAGGACTCTTGTTTGGCATTCCTTTGGTTTCTTGTACATTTGCTGAAGAATTTTGAGAATTTAATTTCATTATATTTTATGAACATCTAAGAATTTTGCACTCAAGTTATAAATGAATATATAAAATTAAATTGACTCCCATATTGAATGTCTGAAAGTAAATATTTTGCACGCTCATGCGGCGATATCCATTGGAACTTCATCTTTTCTCTTATATGAAAAACACTCACATAATCTATGGACAAATAGAGAAGTTGTGCAAACACCCACGCAATATCCTCTTATTGGTCTCTTCTCTTCGTGTTTTCATACCATGAATTATTTTCATTGTAACCTGAATGAAGAGCCCAAGACCCCCTGGCAAGGTGGGAGAGGAAAGGGAAGGGAAAGGAAAGAAGGATTGGGGATTTTTCCACCTTATCTGAAATTCCTCCTTCACCATTTCACTCATGGATATTTTTGTGTACATAAGGAAAAGGTTGACAGTGAGACAATTTATGCTGATAGGATTTGGAGTGACCAGGAAGTTGTGTGTCATGCATTAGTAAAATAATTTACTAGATGTGTGCGTCTCTGTTTTGGGGTTATTTTTTGCCCAGTGGGTGTCACAAATATTCCTCTAAATTAATGTAATTTCAACCCCTTTCGCATGATCCCTTCGTAAATGCCCAAACCTTTTTCATTACACACAAACACACTCTTCGGTCGATGCTTATAATTTATGACACATCCGATGGATATCTAATAATCCTTGAGAATACCATTTGAACCTCCGCTATTTGCACTGCTAGACAAATAAGAGACAATAAGCATTTATATACACTGGGAAATATTCACCCTAAACCGTCGCTCTTCTTCATTTCTCATGCCGAAAATCATGTCTAAGTCGCTGAATGGTGATGAACAGTGAAGGGATTCACGTGTGGGTGGAGAAGGAGAGAAATAGGATATCATGTTGGAGGCATTAAGCCATGGGGCGTGTGTGACACATCGTCCTGCTACTTTCTCAATGACTCAAGTTCAAGCCTGAAAGAGAGAGAATCGAGGAGAGAGAGGAAAAAAAGGAGAGGAATTGGGTATATTTCACTTCACTTCTTTTCCTCTCCATCCTTCCGTTTTACTCACACTCCTATTTCGGAACTTATGTAGTTGGCACTTTAAGTGAATTTTCCATCAGTGTCTGGGCCACCCCAATGAATCAACAAATTTTATTTATAGTCCCACACAGTTTGTATATAAAGGGACAACGACTTGGGATTTAATGTGACATGAGAAAAGAGTGTTTTCACTCTCTCTCTGTCTGTCTCTGTCTTTGGTCTAGGACATGAAATCATTTTTAACCATATATACTCCCAGTTTCTTTGTCATTTATCTCCCATATATCCTTCCTTTATCTCTTTGCTCCTCACCCACGGGAAATTGCAATTTTGCACAGTAGATAAACACAAACACACACACGCAAGTCTCCTCCTCAATGAGCAATTAATGGACATGAATTTCACCCTGTGGAGTTTTATATTGTCACACAAGAGAGAGAGAGACAGAAACCTCATAAAAGATGCAAAGATATCTTGAGACAAATTTCCGCTGATTTGATAAATATTCAATTGACTGAAGAGGGGAAAAAAAGCGTTATTCTGCGATGAATTTTTGATTAAGTCAAGAATTGAAATTTGAATAAAAGTTGAATGATCTTTCAGTGAATAATTTCTTTCTATCGAATAATCCTTTGGATCCTGTGCATCGATTTTTCAGTCTGCTTTCCGTTGAATGCTCTCTATTCTTATTCTATACTTGATGTTTCGCTCTAAGGATTACATGAAAGTGCAGCAACACAAAGAGATTAAAGTAATTTCCCTAAAACCACTGAATTCTCGATGTATTCAAGTCACTCCCTCGATCTTTTCTTCTTCATCCTTTATCAAACAGAGAAAGAGGAGAGAAAGAGAGACTTTTAGTCTGAGTAAAATGTCAATTTTGACGAGAATGAAAAATGATGATTTGTTTGAGTTGCTCGCAATGTTATTTCTTAGTCTACTCTGTCCCTCAATTCTCTCTCTCCCTCCGTGGCTTTGGGATTTTTATATTAGCCGCGAGAAGAATAATTGCTTTGTGCAATTGCTTCTGTTTTTCTTGTCTCTCCCTCTCTTTGGCTGTTGGCTTCCTCCAGAGAGCTCCATGGAGTGCTCTGCTGGCCCACAACAATCTCCTATCTTCTGGTAATATCTCATGTTTGGTGGTCAGAGAGGAGAGCACTCCAAATGGCGAGAGAGAGTGAGAAGAGTGAGTTGGAAAATGGTTTGGTCAGCAGGCAAGAGCGCATATAATATATAAAAGAGGCGAGCAGAATATTGGAAACCGGACGGACGCTCTGCTGACTTTCCACCACTTCGGCGGGCACAGAAAACGGAGGAACTGTGCTGCTGGCTCTACTACTCGTTGGCTGTGAGGCTTCATTGTGTATCTGGAGTTTGAACAGACAAGTCATTTCACGGGACACAATTTCTGTGTGCGGTACAAATTTGGTGTGTGAATTTTCTACAGTGCGTTTTATTCTCACGAGAGAAAGAGGGAGAAAGAAGGGATTCAACGGTGTTTTTCTTCTTTTTCTTGTTGATCAGCAGGGTGGAAATTTTGTGTGGTTCTTCTTATTCTTATATATGTGATCCCACGGATTTTTCCATCAGTCCAAAAGAGCGCGAGTGGTTGAGAATAAATTGTGTGTTTGATGTGGTGCTCAATTGTAGGTGTTACAATTGTATTGCTCTATTCTTTCAATGTTCATTGAACCACAGAGACGTTGAGAATTGTAATTAAAAAAAAAGTGGGGGAAGAAGTAATATTTTTAAAAGGTGTGAACAACTTTTTTTTTGCCTCTCTTCCCTAAAAAGCGAAACATTTCTATACATATTTTTTTTCTAAACCATCAGTTGCAACACTTTTCTACGGACAATTTTGTGGAGTTTATATAGTTTTTGAAAAATAATAAAGAGTGCCTCATTCGTTCTTACGAAACGCCGAACACTGAGAGAGAATTTGTGGTGTGAAGAAGAAGAGAGCTCTGAATGTGAAGAAAAAAGCTCTTGGAGGATTAATTGCTTTGCTGACCGACAAAAGTTTTGCTATATATATTGTGTAAGTACTCTCTGTCTTTACCTTTGAAGATGTTTGTGTGTGCGCTCACATATTTTTCTGGAGAGTCATGTAATTTTATCGCAAGTGTCAATTAGGCTGCGCTCTTTCTGGTTTTTACTTTCCAAAAAAATACAAGAAGAAGAAGAGCCAGAACAGAGAGAATAAAGTGAGCAACACATGAAAAATGTTTGTGTGAGAAAAATTAGCAGTTTTTACAGCATTCTCAACTTATCACAAAAGTGCAATACAGAAATGAAGAAGACAGACAACAACACAGAGAGAATTTACTCTTGGCGCGACAGTAATTACTGCGCAAAACTGTAAAAGTGACACAAGTTTTTGGGGTGATACAAGAGAAGAGAAAAAATGTCTATCTGCACTTATTGATAAAAGTTACTACTAAAGAGAAAGAGAGGCGCTCTTTATGAGTTCTTTTGTCATGAAAAAGTGGGTGTAAAAAATCATTTCCGATGTAAGTAAACTCAAATGTCGATTAGATTGCACACAATGATGACAAATTCTTCGGCTTTAGCGGCATATTTGTTAAGAGAGACTTTCTGCAAGAGGCGCAAAAAAAGGGGAGAGAATTTGCTGGGAGTGTTGTACAGAGATAGATAGATAGAAATGTGCTTAGTTACTAGGTCAGTAGAGAATTAATTTGTGGTGTACGCATTAGTCATAAAATGTAAGACAGACTTTCCCATTACTTTGAATCTTCTTTAGCTTGCTGAAATTTGCATTGTGCATATCTTCTGAATTTCTCCACAATGGAATTAACAAATACAAACTCTTTCCTTTTAATTTTGCACACAACGAGAGAGACAGAAAGAAGAGAGACTACAATGAGGCGACAGAGTTTATTTACATTTGTAATTGTTCTGGCGAAAGAGAAGATGATGATATAGTATAAAAAATGTTCTTTTATCAAAATGCGCAATGTGCGTGTGCACAATTATTTAAATACAGCATCATCAGCAAATGTTTTCTCTCAGCTCAATGTGGAAAGAAGAGAGAAAAATGAGTGGCAAAAAGCTGGAGAGACGAAAAAGACAGAAAGAGAGTTTTAAACGAGAGACAAAGAACATCACTTTTTGATATAATGTGTCTGCAATTATTAAAATTGACTTGTGCTATTGGTAAAAGAGTGTGACAAGAAAGAAGCTCCATCGAGCCACGCCTTTGAATGTACATAATAGAACTGCGATGGGAATTCTGTTTGTTCTCCTTGACACTCTCGGGAGGTGGAATAAATGTTTTCTTCTTCTTCTTTTGGGTTTTTTTCTTGTGTGTGTTGTGCATGCGATTGAGGGTGGATGTTGAGAGAGAATGAGGCACATTTCACGTTAAATTTATGCAGTAATAACACTCAGACGAATCACACATAATTGACAAATGACTCACTCACAATTCGATCCAATGTCTGTTGAATTTTTTACTGTCTCGAAGAGCGAACGTGTGAGTGTTTTTCAGAGGAAAAAGAGTTTTATGAATGGAGGATATATCATGATTAATATGTTAATATGATGTTTCCAAGAAGTCTACAAATTTCGATTGTGATATCACTTTTCTGCTGGCATTCACAGACAACAGCAAGAGATGCTGATGATGATGATGATGGTGACAAAGTGTTTGTGGATGAAAGAAAAAAAAAGAGAAAAACTTGATGTTGGTAAACAAGTTTGAGCGTCGATCAAGTTCAATATAATTGCTGAAATAATTCGCAGCTGAAATCGTTCAAGTGGAATGCCATAATATTCTCTTTCTCTCGGTTGGTACGATATTATATTCTTATTCTTATACATATATATGAAGTGTTTTTCTTCCTCAATGGCTGCCTTTAATCTCCTATTAGGCAACTAATATTCTTGTCTGTCCAGTACGTGGTTTAATGTCATATTGTGAGACGCGCAGCAGACGATGGAGTGAGAGAGGTTTATTGGTAATTTCAAGGAATTCCTTTTTTCCACTGGCGTGGCTGACGTTGAGACGAGAGCCGTGGAGGAATATCTCTTGTGCGGCACAGTGTCAATGTCAGTGGTGATTAAAGATGAGCGTGAGATGTTGAGTCTGGGATGTTTGTGGTTAAAAATATGCTCTTGTTGTGTTGTTTTTTTTTATCCCTCAAAATTTCAATTGAATTAAATGGTGAATTGGCTGAACCAATGAGACTGTTTCTCTCTCTCGAGCTTAAATGTTCCTTCACAAATAAGTCATTAAATGAGAGGAAATTATAGACTTCCGCCACGATTTATTTCCTCTCTTTTTCTCATCTCAATCAATTTGATCCCCATTGATTAATGTCTTTCACAAAATGATGCCATTGAGAATTTCTACACATACTGGTGAAGAATGTGTGAAGAGATTTCTGGGCACTTTTAGAAATGTGAAGTGTGAAAGACTATTTTTTTCTCTCTCCATTAGTCTTCATTTGACGCATCTCAAGTGCATATTTTCTCCTAATATTTCCTCCTCCTCAAGTATCATCATGTTGTGGCCTTTGGAGAGGATACTCTCGCCTCCTGTCACGAGGGTGAAAAGAGAGCACTTCTTTAGACATAATTTACATACAGTTGAAGGCAGAGTTTTTTTTTTTGAGTTTCTTAATGTGTCAATTTGTAAGTAGAATGCACAAACTCTGCCCTAAATTTACAATAAATTGGGTTTTGGGTGGAAAATTACGCTATTTTCCCTGCTTTATCTATCAATATGTCTGTCTGAATTTTGAAGGTATTTTATTCGAGGCTAAGGTCTCAATATCAAATGCATTTGCCCTTATCGGAATGACATAATTTGAGTAATAATGCACCCCTATCGCAGTGCTATACATTCTCAGAGTAATTAAATAGTGCTTAGCAATGAGAAGACAAACGATAATTGCATAAGGGAATATTTATCATGAGCTTTAATTAATGGAACTATCTGTCATTTATCAAATGACATCAAGCCACTCGTTGTGACTCTCGTTTGGGAAGTCGAGAGATGGATGCGAGTGGATGGAACCCCTTGGCTCTCTCTTTTATGGGTCTTTTTCTGTGGTGAATGAGAAACATATGGCTAATGTCAACCCCCCAACGCATCGCGCGCTGTGAATACTTGTGGAATAAAATGCTGTAGCACAGAAATTTTCATGTCGAAGTCGTTTTTTTTCTTTCTTCTCCTTCCGTCCTCTTCAAATACCCTTTGCCTATCCTCCCGCTGTACGACATGTCATCATCATCATCCTTGGCGTTTTAGTATCGGATATGTGAGCATCAGAGGGTGTTCTGACGCACTAGAAGTTATATAAAATAGAGAGAGAAGAAAATGTTGGCAAAATGTGTCACTTGACATGTTTTCCGAATCCTGCTGTGCGTTTAACAATTTCTTCCCTTTCTCAGTACTTTTTCTTTCTTTCCCTTCTCTTGCTGCCTTGCGACAAAACTGGAGGTATAATTCGATGGGAATAATGCAGAGTATGGTTTGGGGCTTGTGCTATTGTAATTTTATGACTATTCTTCAGCCTGTGTGAAAGATAACGATTTACGAATATTGGGGGGCAATTTTCTCTGAAGTGAGCATATAATATTTTCCAAGATAGTGCGTAATATTTGCATTCTTATTGAAATGAATGGTGAGAGAGAGAGACTCTTCAAGCACTCCTCACAAATTTATCACACACTAGAGAGGATTTTCGTATTTTTTCCTCCACTTCTTCCCTTTATTTTAAGGTGTGTCAGCAGAAATATAATCCCCCAATAACTTCTCACACTGTGCATTTTTTCAACGTGTGGATATGGAAGTTTACGTTAACAATTGAGATATGATGGAGAAATTGTTTATAAATGTCACTCCTATCTGTCCATTCATATCTAAGAGACACTTCCTGTCACAATATTCCATTACGATTAAGGTTTTCAGTCTATTGTTGAGACCAAAAAAAAAGAGAAAAAAGTGGCATACAAATGTAATTTTTTCGTTAGATTGTAGACGCGTCGTCGCGGGAAAATGGGTAAAAAGCACAATGTTGTACGATGAATTAAACATTATGTTGTGGATGTGTTTCAAAATGCGTTCTCTCTTGTGACTTATTGGACAAGAGAGGGTACAGAAGTTCATCAGAAGCGAGAGTGTGAGAGGAAAAGAAGTCAAAGTTTTATGTTGGCGGCATTAACATTATCACAAATGCCAACACTTGTGTGATAAATAATATTATAGTTGGGCGGGCGATTGTGGGGGGGGAGAAAAATTGAAGAATTTCCTCCACCCGGAAACAGAATACATTCTTGGGCAATGAAGGAAACCTAATGGGCTGTCTTTCAATTGGCAATGAAGAAGCGGATGTGTAAAATGTTATTATTCAATGCATTTATTTCACCATTGAGTCTTCACTTGTCTTTTTGCCCGTTTCTCTCTCTCTCTCAAAATATTCTCCTCATATATTTTGTGTCTTCATTCTTTTTCTCTCTCCCTCTCTCTTCGTCTGATTGCCTTCTATGCAATATTTATGATATTTTCTATACAATATTTTTACCATATTTCACCATCAATGTGGCTCTTGGGATGAAATGTGCGTGATTTGGATCCATAAATTCTTCAATTGTGATTTGTACGAGGTGTTTATGGTTGGGCAAAAGAGTTGAGAATATTGTTTCTTATCTTTATTCTGTGTGTGTGTGAAGAACAATTTCACAGAATTCTCTATTTCATTGGCTTTGCCGATGGTCTGTTAGAATGCATTAAAAAAAGTGGTTCTTTTTCGCTTTCTTCGATGATACGCGGAACGTGTGAAAAAGACACACGAAATACCTGAAATTAGTTATTCTATCGAAGAATTCACAGCATGAGTCAATTCAGATGATCAATCTGAATGCTGTCTGTGATTTATCTCAGTTTTTTTTTATGGTTTTGTAGTCTCTTAGAGAAGAATAAACACCTGAAAATATTTATTGATTACCTCTAAATACTTTTAAGCACAAGAATTTTTATTTCTCTGCGAAAAATTCGTGATCCTGGAAAGAGAA